GTATGTATATGTATATGTATATGTATATGTATATGTATATGTATATGTATATGTATATGTATGAATGGATGTGGGTGAGTGTGTATGTGTGAGTGGGTGTATGTTCCAGCATAACTCTGGAACCAAACTTGGTACACAGATGACTTCGTCTCTGGAGACAAATACTGTGGAGGTAAGACACCCCTAAAACCCCTCAGGATGAGTGTTCTGTTAAGATACAGCCTGTTGTGTCTTAAAATGGCTTCTACTATTTTGCCATAAAATGACTTCTACTGTACAGCACAGTGGAGTTGCCATGGTAACAGTTTTACAGTACTCCACAAGGGGACTCCCTCTAGTAAATCCAATTGGGGAAAACCCAACATTAGAAATTACTTTTGGTCGGGACATTTTCTCTCTATAAATAAATACCTGGGCCACGCCAGGTTATTGGCTATATTTTCTAAAGATGAACATGGATATTAACATTCAGATAAACTCAACACCATTCCCTCTGTTCCCCAGAAAAGTATTTTCTATTGCAGGAAATCTAAATACAACCATTATTTAGCATGCTTCCTCATTACTGTAAAGAAACCTCCAAGCATGAGATATGAACATTATTTTGTCAGTTTTCCTTCTCCTTTTGCTACAATAAATTTGAGAAAGAAAGGTATTGCAATGTGATGTTGATAAAAAATTGGAGACAAGGAGCAATGTCAGTGTCACCTCATTTGCATTCAGAAGCAGAATCCAAATGAATTAATTTGGGCTCATTCAGTCAGTGTTCTAACCTTTTTAATATGACCTGATCACATGGAGCTTGCCATTTTGTGCTGTTCTTTCAGTGATTCTGTTACATTCTTTATTTTTTATTTTTATTCTCTGTTCCACAGTTTCAGAAACTTCTGCATTTAGTGCCTTCTTTCACATTTTATACCAAATTGTTGAATAGATGTGTCCTTGATACTCATTTTCAAGATAGTGTGTAGTTGAATATTCTTCCTGCTTGGCAGTTGTTTTTGAATGGAAAGTGGACGATGCAAATTGGATGATGAAGAATAAATGACATAGGGTCAATTTATCACTGAAATTAGCAGCAAATAAACTGACTACTGCATCAGGAACTAAATAGTAGGAAAGTCAGATTGCTGGCATTTATGACTAGGGACTTATAAGTAGAATATGCATAGGAATACACTGAATATTAGAGATCATCAGCTGTATCATTTCAAGTTTCCAGGAATATATCATTTAAACATTTCCCAGTAAGAGGGGAAGCAATATTTAATGGCTATCCAGGGTACTTTTTTAACTGCCTTAGAACTAAAGATAAAGGTTGCCCTCACACATATGTGTTAGTCGTTCCTGACTCTAGGGAGTGGTGCTCATCTCCATTTCAAAGCCAAAGAGTCAGCGCTGTCCGAAGACATCTTTGTGGTCATATGGCCGCCATGACTAAATGCCGAAGGTGCATGGAATGCTGTTACCTTCCCACCAAAGTGGTCCCTATTTTTTGTACTTGCATTTTTACATGCTTTTGAACTGCTAGGTTGGCAGAAGCTGGGAGAAGTAACAGGAGCTCACTCTGTTACATGGCGCTAGGGGTTCAAACTGCCGACCTTCCTGATCAACAAGTTCAGCGTCTTAGCCACTGAGCCACTGCATCCTTGCCTTAAAGCTTAATGGCTTTATATGTTGTACAAATTAAAACATGATAGAATGCCAAGCATATGCCAGTGTAATACCATGATAATATATGTCATAATTTACAAATAATAGAAAAGCATGCAAGAAAGGAATTTGAAACCAAACAATGCAGACTAACCCGTGAATTCTAAAATATTGGGGAGAATGGAAAATTCTTGCACCAAAAAGTTAACGGTGTAGACACCAGATGGGTTTCCTGTTCCAAATCCGCAATTCTAGGCTAAGTCCTTCTCTATGGATTTGCTAATTGCATCTGATAAGGGGCCGGGGGTGTGTGTATGACTTTATTTGACTGTCATGTAAAAATGAACAGCCTCTCTGTCATTTTGTTTCAGAAAAAATGGGGGGGGGGGAATCTAATCCATTTTCCTTTTTAAAAGGTAGCTCGAATGAACTCTGACAGCTCTTTATAGATTCTCCAATTCAACTGAAAAGCATGCCCTAAGTAGTTTTTTATGGGGCCAATACATGGAAAAGAACATGAAAAGAGATTGGGGAAAAGTCCAAAATTGTTCATACTATACTGCTTAACACTGTGAATGAAATTGCCATTGTAAATACCCTCAATGTGTCCAGAAACAGGTTTCTAAGGACACTGGAAAAACTAGATAGTTTTTAGTAAGATAAGTAGCCTATTATTATTTTTAAGTAGCTAGTTTTTACAAGTAAAAAATGTGTAGTAGACTTCCTATTAGTTTTTAGACAACCACGTATCTCAGAGACCGTGGACCTGCACCAAAACTCATAAAATTGCTGGAAAGAGGAGGGCAATGTTTACTGCTGCTAATGGATGGCATTGCAATTATCCACTGGTAACGTACTAAGGAGCAGGAAAATATTTTGTGACCCATTAGGGAAGGCAAGTCTATTTTCCTGCCTTCTTAGCAATACATCATGATCATCAACTCTTCTTCTGTCTGAAAACCAATTATTTCCTTGCTGAATTAAGTGCACCCTTCATGTAAGGCATGTAATATATTTATAAAAGGAAGCACAAGATGATTCATTCATTGTGCAAAGAATTTTCAAGTCACTGCCAAACATAGCACTGCTGTTGGCATGGGAACTTTCCATTTGTCAGAAGCAATTTAGCCATAGTAGTCCATTAACATGTATCACTTGAAGTAGCCACCTGTTATTTATTAATTTACTTACTTACTAAGTCGTCTATGCCACTAATTATCAGGGGCTTTAAGTGGCTTACAGAATGGTGCAACAAAGGTTAAAAATAAAAATAAAAAATCCAGCACATAATCGCTGGATTTAGAAACCCCAAAACTATGATAGTGCCATTCCACCAAACCTTCTACATTCCCAATGCCTTTTGTTGTTGGCTGTGGCTGCCAATCACTGGATTTCAAAGATGAAATGGACAGCAGACATCAGCTGAATTATAGTTGGCAAAACTTTATTATTTCTGTTTACTTACATCAGAGACTCTTTCCTGATCAGCCATGACAAATGTGAGAGGCAAATCATGGCAAAAGTCCATGTTGCACCACTTTTAGTAGGCAGATTTTTAGCAGTCTTTCCCCTTTCCCTTCTATGATTTAATATGAAAGGACTTTTGAAGATGGGCACTGCTAAGGAATGCATCCAGATATATCCTAAGGCGGGAATCCCAACCTCTGGGCCACGGCCTAGTACAAGGCCGTAGCCTATTTGCAACCGGGTCACATGAGCGGTGGGCCAGCGCACACTCGCAGCTTGACTTGCACAAGCAGCGGGCCTACGCACACACACTCACAACTCAACTTGTGCAAGTTGAGATGCACACATGCATGCCGACCCACCTTTCTTGTGAGTCGAGCTGCATGCATATGCACAGCGGCCCATCACTCCTGTGGCCCAGTTCCCCTCTCCCCCTTCGTTATGAATGGAAAGGTGTTGACCTACAAATCCAGCAGATATATTTTTAGTCTTAATCTGCTACCTGTTAATTAGAACAAGTGGCAGGAAAATAGCCAGGATAAATTACTAAATGCAGTCATGGTAGTTTTGTTAGATAGTTCATCCTGATGTTAGAACTCAATGAACTCTCATATTTGTCAGCCTTACCAGGTAGACCTGACAGGAAACACAATCAGATAAGCTAATTCTGCTTTAGTGTAAAGCTAAAGCGAATCTTGCAAGTCTGAAAGTACAATTCTCTCACTGATCCCTTCATTCTGAGTCCCTTGCCCCACCTGCTATATAGCTGTGGGATGTACTCCTTTATCTTATCTTATCCCTAGGCCACATCTCTTCACTCCATCTCCCAAGGTACTTCCCATCTATTATTATAATATATCAGAATGGCAGAGCATAATGCAGCTAATGTAAAGTACTTATATCATTTCTTGTACCACTATGAAGGCCTATCACATGAAAATACAGCAATTAGCTTTAGTTATAGGAAATTCCCAATACAACAAAACATATCACGTTTACTAACCAGTAAGACTCAATACCACTAAATATTCTGGTATGTCCAAACATTTTCTATCACTGTTCCATTGTCTCCAAGAATCAATTGTGTAATTCTCTCTGCCTTTAAATGTAGCTCTGGATTTCCCAGATCTAAATAAAAGGGCAATTTTACTTCCCGATAGTAGTCAAGATCTATTACTCTCGCCATAAGGCCATGGTTTGCAGTCCCAAACCAAATTCAAGATATATATTCCCATAGGTTTGGGAACTAAAATGTGCTTATATAGTATTTCTTGCCCTATAATGATCCAATAACCAGATTCAATCATCATTTTGTGAATCCAGAAATGAAGATACAATTTGAATGTGCTTTTATTAACTTTTCCGTGAGTCTTATGTCTAAAACTAATGCTGTTGATTTCCCATTGTTAAATTATGTTATATTCCATTGCATTTGCCTTTGTGATGTATCTCTTAGATTTCAAATGATATTTCAGACATGTTAAATAACCCATTGTTTTTTAATGGTTAGTGCTCTCTACGGCTATATAAATAATTGTAACACAGCATTCTTTTCACTGCTTGCTAAGACAGCAGCCCTCAACCTTTTGTGCTCCAGGAACCGGTTCTGTGGAGAGAGGTTTTCCCATGGATCAGAGGGGGTGTGGTTTTGTGTGCTGCCTGCATCCCGCAGATGAAGCTTCGCTTGTTTGTGCAGCCTGGTTTCTGGCATGCTGAAGCCTGGTGCCAGTCCACAGACTGGGGGTTGGGGACCCCTGTGCAAAGAATTTCCAGCAGATGGGTTAGGGGGATTGTTTTGTGAATGCAATGATTGATAGATTTGGCTTTTAACATTACTGCAATCCTTTAAATGAACATGAAAATATTTTTGGAGACTGTTGATACTGATATCTCATGAAAATATTACTCTACTGTTCATGGCAACTGGATTATAAAATTTGGTGCATTTTCATTTAATGAATTATAAACATATTGCTGTAGACATTTTGTTGTATTCTAAATTATAAAAAAAATATTTCAGTGTTTTATACTGCTTGGAAAAGCATGGTTTGATAAACAACTTGAAAACCTTTTAAAGAAATAATGCAAATATAATGCACATCAGTAGATAAATAAAAACACAGCTGCCATTCAGTTTTATTTCCATCCATTGATAAGCTGCAGGAAGCACTATATGTGTCTAATGGTTCCCAAGAAAGAACTTCGGGTTTCCTTAGGATCACATAATTTTAGGAAAGCACATTACACAGGTTATTGTAAACCAATGGCACATATTTCTATATATTAAAGGGCGAGCAAATCAGATTAGGAAAAATGTGGAAGCTTCTCATTAGTAAGAAAATAATCAAAAAACGTCCTTATCTTTTGGGAGATATAATTTATGTCTCACTATAATTAAAAATGGCTTTAAAAACCAAACCAGGAAGGCATACATTTTGCCGATGAATGCATGCCCATGCTCAAATCAGGCATCCAAAACTGGATGGTTTCATTATTGCTGAATCAGTTTTACTTTCAACAAAAAGTATTCCATGCATGAAAAATGCAGTTAAAACAGAAATAAATTTGTATCTGTGCAAATTTAACTGCTTGTCTTAGCATAGATTTTGCTTCGATTAACCAGTGTTTTCCAATTGTATCTACTTTCCTTCCTAGTTAAATCATTTTAAGTAATATGTTCCAGCAATTCTTAAAAAAAATTACATTGAACAAATTTTGGGTGATGCTATATCAAGGTAACTTTTAAAGATATTATTTTTAAATGTCTTATATTTAGTAAATAAACAAAATGTAGATTTTAGAATGCAGGTAGCCCTGATGTAACTTTGAAGGGTCACTAAATGAACTGTTGTAAGTCAAGGACTACCTTTTTATTTGTTGGCAAGCAGTTTAACTTGATTCCTGTCCATTGTTTTCTCTACAGCACAGCCCATTCTTTGCTGAACAGCTTACAGCCTTTCAAGTCTGGCTAACAATGGGAGTGGAAAACCGCAATCCTCCTGAACAGCTCCCTATCGTATTGCAGGTGAGTTGTCTTGACAGCCAGCTGGACTACTGGCTTAACTGAGGCTGCTGGAATGTGGGCAACCAGCCAGCTGCAAATTTCTCTGTGTGTTTATGGACATGCCTTTCTATGACTTCTTTGCTCTTTGCCAGATGGTGTTTGGATAAATAAATTATGTGGATGGCACTGGAGACTAATTGGAGCTCGTTGTTTGCTGGGCTTTTGCTGATACAGACACATTACACACAAGCAAAATCCTATCCTCCCACCTAGCCACATGCTCTCAGTTAAGCATCAATTGACATTGTAGAACTATTAGCCTTTTTGCCAGAGAATTTCACTCAGCTGTAAAGCTACAAAACTCTTGTTCCAAGCAGCCAGGTTTGATCTATACCTGGCCTCTTACCATCCATAATGCACTGGCTACTGGTGACAAGAGGGCCTGGTAAGAATAAATATCCCCTTGTTAGTATTAGGTGAATTTCTCTCTCTCCCTCTCTCTCTCTCTCTTTTTTTTTTTGCTCTACACAAAGAGAAAGAAAGAAAATGTTCCAAATGACACGTTCACACTGCAAGTCAGAATCTGAGGAGAAATGTTTTTGACAAGAATATAAAATACTATCAGTTTTGTCTTCAACTCTGTCTAATTCCTGTATGCTTCATCATTGTTTCTGAAGTTGAGAAACAAAGTTATACACATTTAATAAAAATATTAAAATAGACAATTTACATGTAAATAAATGATTTCATAACCAAAATGTTCATTTACTACATGTGTTATCCAGTACATTTAGCATCTAGTATATGACTGTAGTTTATTTTGAAACACATTCATCTTTGTTCTTTTCCATATGCTTGAAAAGCACCTTCATCATTGTAGAAATTTACGAAGGTTTACTAAAATGTCACAATTTAGTATCCAACTTTTCACTGTTTTATCAGGCAGATGAAAGTGGGAGGAGAAGCAAAAATCTGGGTACAGTCTAGGTATACTAGGTCAATAATTTTCAGGATGTGTGTCATTACATGATACATTCAGGATTACTGAGGTGCAAAGTCTGTTTCCTAATTATTTAAGGGTATTTGGTTTATCAAATATTCCTCTAAGAATAAACAACTATTGTATTATTCAGTTGTTTTTTTAGACTTATACATCTATGCTGGAAATCTTATCTGGTTATAATACAAAGCAGTTCTAATTCTGACAGGAACTAGATTAATAGCCATTGCTAACATTCTTTGGGGGATATTTGCTTTTTCTCTCCTTTCCTCCTCCCCTTCCCTTTCCCCTCCCCTCTCCTCTATTTTCTTCCTCCCCTCCCCTTCCCTCTCCTCCCCTCCCCTCCTTCCCTTCCATTTCCTTCTGCCAAGAGGAATTGGGTTACATTATTCTACCTATTCAAGGGCACCCATTTTCATCTTATATAATGGGAAAATACTTTCAGTCCCACTTAGCAGCGCTGTCTTGTAATATGGGTGACAGTGTCATCAATCATTGTGAGTTCCGACTCTTCATTTTCTACAGTTTCTGCAGCCTGGGAGTTTGTTGTGGTGATAGATGGACAGTTTATCTCTGACAAAGCAGTGAGACAGACAGATTTCTTGTCCAGCAACAGATATGCTGAATGACTTGACAGCAGACAGCTATACAGATAATTAATTTTGCAGCAATACTAAAATGCCCACCTGCTTCTTCATGAACAAGGGTGGTCACATCACTGCAAAAGCCAGCAGAAAGGAGAGATTCATTAAAGCAAGTACAATCACATTGTTTCATCAAATTTGAATTACTATGCAATTAATTTACTGAAAAAGGCCCCCAAAAGGGCATTTTTATGCTTTGGGCATAATGCCAGGTAAGGTTTTTCCAGCTACAGAAAACAGCTTTTATAAATAGCTTTCTGTGATTTTTTAAAAACAAATCCCTTTAGAATCTCTATTCTCTTGGGAGAAGCATGACACAAACAGATTGCTAAAACAGAGAGGGGGATGAAGGGGCACATGGGTGGTGGGGAAAAGCTTGGAGCACCTTAATCCTCAGGGAGGGATTTGTGTTCCAGACTGTATCTCACACAGCCCCATAGGATTAGTAGTTGTCCTGTGGAGACAAAGCCTAATTGTAGATGCAAAGGGTGGTTTTGTTTTAGTCACTGGTACTGGCTCTTTGACCTCTGCTAGCTTGTAATTTTAATAGAAAACTTCCATGTATGTATCCAATGCTTTGAGTTGATAGTTTGATATTTGCAAATCTACTGAATGTGAGTTTGTTTTTGTGTATGGATAAAAATCTCCCCTGCCTGTTCTGTGTATTTCCTTCTCTTGTCCCCAAAACAATTGTTCTTATTATTGCCAGGACTCAGAAATTGATATGTAAGAACTAAAACCAAACTAAAATGCTCATTCTGATTGTGCATTAAATAAAAAAATAAGGAGATTTTACTACATCCTATTTCACAAACAAAATACTAACCCTGAAAATAGTTCTATATCCATTTCTATAAATGAACATAACTTTTCTTATGCAGCTTGTGAAAATATTGTATCTGAAAGATTGAAGTGTTCCCTTAAATTTTCCCTTACATTTATTGAATGTCTAGACTAGAGCATGGGCTTTTGGCGAGCCTGGGTTGCATTAAATAAAAGGAATAAAAGTTTATAATCTTGTAGGATTGCATTACTAGCTGTCCAGGGCCACATGTGGTCCATGAGCCACAGGTTGGACACACCTGGCCTAGACGTATACGTGCTTTTTAGCAATAGCAGTAGACTTATATACCGCTTCATAGGCCTTCAGGCCTCTCTAAGCGGTTTACAGAGAGTCAGCATATTGCCCCCAACAATCTGGGTCCTCATTTTACCCACCTCGGAAGGATGGAAGGCTGAGTCAACCCTGAGCCGGTGAGATTTGAACCGCTGACCTGCTGATCTAGCAGTAGCCTGCAGTGCTGCATTTAACCACTGCGCCACCAAATTGTTTGCAAGTGCTGTATGATAGCCCAGCCATAAGAAGCTCCGAACTGAAATCTATTCTGTATTGGTGTGGGTGTATATATACTTGGAAAAGTATATCTTCCACAAAATAGAATCTCCCACTTCAGCTGCTGAATAGAGAGCCCTGTGAAAGGATAGGATAGAAAACATTGGCGCTTATTAAAAGCCCTGACATTAAAATTTACAAGACCTGCATCACGGTGTTATCATGTCAGTGATTCATTACACAGTTTTTACCAGTCAAATCACTATGCAAGTATACATAATACATAACAATATGCAATAATATCAATAAATGATGAATCAAATACAATAGATAATACTACACCTCACTTAGACAATACTGATATTCTCTTCCCTTAAGGCCTTTGGCGTAACTAGGTTTTTTAAAGTTTCCAGAAGTTTATGAGGAACAATTTCTTTTATCAGTCCATTCTCCTTTGACCTTTTTCTTCCTAGCTGTTGAAAAAAAATCAGCTTGCTCTTTAATAGTACATTAATTTTATATGTGTTAGAGTGCAGTCTTTAATATAATATGAGATAGACATCAGAATTCAGGAGACAAGAATGAAAGTGTGAAAACGTGCCACTATTAAATAAGAAGAAGAATATTATATAATGCATAAAAGTGTTAAGACAACCTAAAATTTATGATCCTGATCAAGAATCTTACTAAATTAAAATAGAGGTGCACAGTGCACATGTGAATCCCAAAGCTATAAATTCAGCTGATTTTTCCAAAAGTGGCTTCTGAATTATAATTTTCTTTTGACAGAAAGGGAAAATTATGACATATGTGGGGAATAATCTTATTAACTGTGTTTAATTTAATTTAAATTTAATCAAACATAACCCTTGCACTGGAGTGCAATCCACTGCTCACCACTCAAAGTTAAGTGTGGAACTTAGATCAGGAAAGGTTGTATATCCCTGACTTCAAGCAGAGTTAGGTTTTAGCCTCCTAATTTGAAAGGTACAATGTCATTCTCCCACATTAGTGAGACCGCTTTCTCCCAGAAGCAAGGTTAATTGGTTGTGGGACTAAAGAGAGAACGGCCTAGCTGCCTGTTTTTGACATTAACAGATTGCTAGCTTTTTCTGTGACAGCAAATTGAAAGCTAAAGAATCATCTTATTATTTGGAAACTAAGAAATTCACCCTCTGGCTTGTGTGCAGTTTCTGACTTTGAATAGAACATTTCTGATCTTTTTTGGGGGGGGGGGAGTGGAGAGGAATGGAGTTCATCATGCATTTAAAACTGTAAAGATAGGAGCGATTATGTGTCTCATATTTGACAGTGGATAAATGCCTTATGCAAAAATATATATGGTTAGTGGCTCCATTTCTTGAAGTGTATTCATTGTGTACAGTCTATTTCTGGTATTTTGGGAAAAACTGATTTGGGCAGCATGGATGGGCAGACTCTTACTTGCTGATTGCATGTTGCCTCCTCCAACACAATTGCAATATCTTGATGCCATTGTGCCATATGAGACATTGTGCCATATGAGATGGCCATAAAGGGAGCTTTAAGCCTTGTAAAGCCACTTATTTCACACATTAAAGTGTCCCAAACTCCCCACCCACACATTTGAGCCACATTTGCTGATTTTGGGAGTTCAGGGGCAACATGGTATTGTTTTTAACTCCTCCAAAAAAAAAGAGAGAGAAAGCAAACAACAGCCAAAATGTTTGGCCCTATCCACTTCAATAATGCTAAATATTCTAAATAAATATTTAAGCCTTGTCCTTTGCAAGTCCACAGGTAGGAAGCAATGGCAGAATGTAAGTCTCAGGTACAAGATCATTATCCAGGCCAAATCACAAAGCTCTGAAATCCTAAATAATCGGCCTTGTGTGATTTTGTGGGGTTTTTTTTTTAATGGAATTTTTTTGTTTTCTCTGATTTTCACAGGTATTGCTGAGTCAAGTACATCGGTTACGAGCTCTTGATTTACTTGGCCGTTTTTTGGATCTGGGTCCCTGGGCTGTTAGCTTGGTGAGTCCGTATTACAGCCTTTGTCCTGAAAAAGGAAAGAGGCTTTTTATATCATCAACATGTGTGTCTGATGAACTTATTCTTCCTGGAAAATAATGTCCCATGAGAGATGGTCGCTATGTATCCTGCAATTGGATGTCGTCAGGTCGCTATAAATCAGGGTCTCAAAATTTGACCAACTCCGCAAATGGTTGAAAATCTTGTTATCCGCTGCAATTCCCATAGTTGTTCAGTCTCTTCCGTTCCATCTGAAGGTGGGCCTAACGATATTAAAAAGATGTAATTTAACTGCTCAGGCACTTTCTTGTGGGCATGCTGATAATGTACAATTTGCTAGAATAAAATGAGAATTAGAACTAGAAGAGCTTCCAGCTATTATAATTTTTATTCACACAAGGACTGTCTAGACCTCAAAAGGAGGCTGCTTAGCACCATGTAAAAATCAGAGCTATTCTAGCTTTGCTTTTTAATTGAGAAAACAGGACAGAAACTTTGAAAACTGCAGTGTTAAAAAGAAAAATATATCAAGAGGAAAGGGAAACGACGTGGGTGGTTAAGAAAAAATAATTATGTTTGGATTTTGTGTATATCTGACTATATTTAAAAATCTTAAGCAATGATCTAATTTCAAGATTCACATTCAGTATTTCTATCAAAATGTCTCTTTCCCTAGTAGGAAATACATTGTTAATTTGTGACTAGATTAGAAAAAACTTACTCTACATTTCAGAACTTTTGTGGTAGTGATTTTCCAGACAGAACAATTTCCCGTCTCTAAACATTATGAGCCAATGAAAGATGTGCTATAATTTTTCATTGTTTAACAATAACAAACCTGAATGAATTCCAAATTGTCATATGGAAAACTACCATAGTACATTAAGTTCTGAACAAAAATGTACCAATCAACTTTGGGTAAAACCAAATAATTAAAATCATTGTACAGCACCTAGGAATAATGTTGACAGGAAACAAATATGCAGGTATTAGCTCTTTACTATTTTTACTGCCAGAGGTGGGGGCAGGAGATTCTTGATGCCAGCCCTATATTTATATCCTTTCTCAATTGTCTTTTCTGTTAGGCTTTATCTGTTGGCATTTTCCCCTATGTATTAAAACTGCTTCAAAGTTCTGCTCGAGAACTAAGACCTCTTCTGGTTTTCATCTGGGCCAAAATCCTTGCAGTGGACAGTGTGAGTAACCATTAAGTGTTAATTGACCAAAAGGCAAAATACAATGCAGGGGGTCCTCAACTTACGACCATTCGTTTACTGATCATTCAAAGTTAACAATAGTAGAAAAAGGTGGTTTGTGACTGGTTTTCACACTCTTGGGACCGTTGCAGCATTCCCGTGGTCACATGATGAAAGTTCGGGGTGTTTGGCAAAGTTCGGGTGCTTGGCAACTGGCATATATATATATGTATATATATATATATATATATATATATA